ACTCGGCCAGCCGTCCGCGGGGAGCAGGGAAAGTGGCGTTTCCAGCACAGACCAGACAAGGCAACAAAATCTTTGGTATCAGACGTGATTTTCAAATCACAAAAATTGAAAACTCAAGTGAGGTAGCCTTTATTCTCGGGTTCTCACTAGAAATGTCTTTGCATCCTTGAGGGCCTGTGGCATTTACTCTTTTTTTTTTCTTTTCTTTTTCTTTCTTTTCCTTTTTTTCCCATTTTTTTTTTCCTGTGTGTTTTTCACTTCCCAAACCAAGGCCCCCTTCCTGGCTTTTCAGCCCTTGAATACTACTCGATGGGGTTCAGAAATCCACCACCATCGTCACCACGTCACAACAAGACAAGAAGAAACAACGTTAGGGGAAAAAAGCAGTGGCGGGGAGCGGGGCGCTGGGGGGATGAGATTCGCTTTGCCATTAGTTTTTGGGTTGCGGTTGGCAAAATACGCTGCGGCACCTGCCCCTTCCCGCTCCTTCCCTCTCTCCATCCCTCTCTCCCGCCCTCTCTTTCCAGCAATAAATTGGTTTAGTTTGGTGTGACCGTGTCCAGTCTGACACCCCCAACCCCTCCACCGCCCACCTACCCCAGGAGATCTTTGGTTAAAGACGTCCTCTAACCCCGCCGGTGACCGCGGCCGGTCAGGGCTCCGTGTGCAGGGTTGTGGTTTTTTTTTTTTTTCTTTCTCTCTTTCATTCTTTTGTCCTTTCTTTCCTCTTTTTTTTTGGGGTGCTTTTTTTGGGTTTTTTTGGTGAACACATACACTTTTTTTTTTTTTTCCTTTTTTCCTTCTTTTCAACAAGGTGCCTTCCTGTTACACAACAGATCGCTCTCAAAGTAAAGTGAATCGAAGAAACCATAGCGCTAGAACACAGATGGTACTATTTTACCCGCATAAATTCAATAGTGTCCCTTTTCTTTTTTGGTTGATGGTTGGTTTTGGAGGATTTTTTTTTTTTTTTTTTTCCTCAAGTGGTGAGGGAAGGAGGGGACCTCGCCTCCCCTCCATCCCCAAACCTCTCCCAGCCCTTCCCTGTCCCTGGCGGCACCTCCTGCTCCTCCCGAGGACGCCCCGGGCTGGCAAGGAGCCCGTGGGGCAGCTGGGACAAGGGCCGATTGTAAGGGTTTGGCCTCGTGATTGCTTTTTTATATGGCACAAGTCACCATCGAGAGCTCGGAGGAAACGATCGCTTTGAAGCTAGTACCATTGCTCCAGAAATTCGCGTTTTAAGGCAGGTTGTTAATTGGCACAAAAAAAAAAAATCTGGCGTCTTTTTGGTAAGTTGCCGATCTTTGCGTTGAGCTTGTTTGGTTGTGGTTTCTGTTGTTATTCCTTTTTTTTGGGTTGTTTGTTTCCCTTTCGATCTCATCGGGGAGTTTTCCCCCTTCTCACACCCAGGGCTAGATTTCGCCACCAGATCCCTCGGATTTTTCTTTTCCCACCGTACACCGATGTTGGTTCCCAGGAGGGAATTTTTTTTGTTGTTGGGTTTTTGGTTTTGTAATTTCTTTGGTAACAGAGATGAAGAGGGGGGATGGGAGGGGGCAATAGTGTGTGTCGAGGGGTGGATGGGGCGAGACACAAAGCCAACAAATCTGCTTTGTCTGAATCCATTCCTCAACCGAAAAGTGAACCAGAAATCCAGTGGTGAATGGTGGAGCCAGTCACCAGGAAAGATCAAATCCTTCGCTCCAAGTCTCTCCTCCCGTCTCCTTTCAAACAATTATTATTTTTAAATACCCGATTTCTGTAGCTAAAATGTGCTTCTTTGACCTGCTTGGGCGCCAGGCGACGCGTGAATGGTGGAGCCAGTCACACCAGGAAAGCAAATCCTTCGCTCCAAGTCTCTCCTCCCGTCTCCTTTCAAACAATTATTATTTTTAAATATACGATTTCTGTAGCTAAAATGTGCTTCTTTGACCTGCTTGGGCGCCAGGCGACGCGGTGCTCTTGGGGGTGTCCGGGGTGGGGGGGTGTCGGAGGAAGATGCCTGTGGAGGAGACTAGGGCTGCGGGAATGCCCTCAATCAGGTTTTCAAAACCTTCAAGGGAGAGAAACACCCGTGTGTCAATGGCAGAGAGGGTCTGGCTGCCTTTGGGAACCCCCCTTCACCCCGGGGGGGGGGGGAGAGGCTTCTCTTCAGCAGCCAGAGACCTGGCAGGAGCCCAGGGTCACCCTCCAGGCACACGGGGAGCATTTTCCCTGCTTGTCCCCCTTTGAGCCACGTGGTTTTGGCCCTGGTTCGGCGGGGTTGTGCCAGGGCCCAGCCCCATGACTCCACTTCTTGTATCTCCCCCACCTTTACCCCTCCACCATGGGAGCTGTAAGGGTGGCTGCGGCAGAGATTGAGGGGGGGTGGGGGTGGGTGTCAGGGGGTGCCCCTCTCCCCAAAGACCCTGGTGGGCAGGTGAAGACAAGGTTCTGTGGTCCCCGAGGACCAGGCATGCTTCCAAACAGCACCTCGCCCTCTCCCTCCATCCCACATCATCCCTCGCTCCACAGGGGTTTCCTCCGAGCCCTCCCCGGGGACGGAGCTGACCAGGTTGCAAACCCTCTCCCTGCTCTACAAGCTGGGAGGACGTAGGAGCAGGATGTGGCACGAGGCCCACGTCCCAGGGTGACACCTGGCTGAGGGTTTGGGAGGCTGATGGACCCGCAGCATCCAAAAGCACCCACCCCGGTCAGCTCGGGGCACGCGTGTGAGTCTGGGGTTGGCTTTGTCATGAGGAGGATGTCCGGGAAGGGGCAGGGAGGGCTGGGGGACATCATGCTTTGGAGAAAGTGCTTGTAGAAGAAGAGGGGACTCCGGGGTTGGCGCCTGGCTCCTCCTGCCAGCGGTTCATACCGCCGGCGGGCATTCATGAAGAAGTTGCTGACGGTGTTGAGCTCCAAGCCCAGCTGCTGAGAGATGGTCATCTGCATCTCCTTGGATGGGCGCTTGTTTTCCTTGAAGATGGCGATCAGGGTGCGGCGCTGGAGGTCCGTGAAGACCAGCCGCTGCTTCTTGGGCTGCAGGCTCCTGTCTTTCTGCTGCTCCTGCTCTTTGCGTTTGCAAGCTAGATGTTCAAAAGAGAGAATAGGGCCATTAATTGGTGCTCACCACCCTGGCCCGCTTGCAGGTTGCCTGGCTGCCTCCCAGAAAACAGGCCCTTCCCTCCAGTAAACCCGCTGGCTTGCTGCCCACCACTCCCTAGGCTACCTCCCTCCTCTTCCTCCCTGTGCCTTCTGAGCGTCTGCTGAGATGGGACGACAGCCTCTTGCGACATCGGTATGAGAAAAGCCTGGGTAAAGCCCATCACCTCTTCAGATGCCCAGGAAAAGCCCAAGTCTCAGCATCTCCAGCCTACCCTGGGTCTAGAGACCAAGGAAACTCCTGGGCTGACTCTGCTCCCACAGCCTGGCTATTGGGACCTGCTCCATCCCTAAATTTTGGGGGTCATCCATCAGCCTCCCTCCCTTGCTGCACTCTGGTATGGTCTCCCTCGCCTCCTCGTCACCTCTGTGGATCTCACTGGAGGACTCAGGGAATAGGTGTCTCTTGGCCATCACGTCCAGCTGCCACCTCCGAAACGCAGGGAAGAGCCGGGGACAGGGACGTTGTGAAAAGGCCGGTCTGCAGCCACCACGTCCGACAGCAGACAGCCTGGAAGGACCGTTCGTGGTTCTACCTGCTCTGGGAAGGGGTATTTCTGCCTCCAGAGGCTGGAGAACAGCCCGAGCCACCTGAAGCTCCAGGAAATTCAGTCTCCCCTGCACGCCGTTGCTACTGGATCTTTTGGCACATGTGTCAGGTTGAGCCAGCACCGAATTAAAAGCCTTCCCTACAGATTTGGCTTGAGCGGTAGGTCAGGACACAGGTGCTGTCACACGGGGACAGGCTGCCGGGAGCCAGGAAAGCCCCCCTGACACCGCCACGCCGCGTGCAAGGGAGGGAGGGAGAGGAGTATGCCCCTTTTGGTAAATATATGAATTTTAATTGCAGGAATATTAAGCACGCTGTTGGTGGAAGGGGTGAGAAAAGGAGCCCTTTGCTATGGTATTTTTCTAGAAAATTATAGAATAACTGAGGTGGGTGGAGGTTGCTGGTCCAGTTCATACTCAAAGCAGGTACGACCTCGAAGCTGTCGAGGTTAGATCAGGGTGCTCGGGGACTTCGCTGGGTCAGGACTTGGCCAGGCATGTGCGGGCACTGTGGGAGCGTGAGATGCCCATGGGCAAGGCAGGGCACGGACCTGGCCCTCCAAGGCGGGGGCCACACCATTTCCTCCTGGAAAGCGCAGAAAAGAGTCAGGAAACGATGGGCTAAAGACTTTCTGAGGAAACCCCCCACTCTTGCCCCGAACAGCAGCAGTTTTCAGCCTTTGGGGTTTCTTGGATCTTCCAAAGGATTTTGCAGGGAGGGCACAGGTCCTTCGAGACATTCGCTGTCGGAACGTTGCTGGATGACAGATTTCAACTTGCTTTTCTCAGGCACTTCCAGGAGCCTCTTCGACCTGGTGCACAGACCTCGGAGGGCCCAGACCTCGGAGGGGCCAGAGGCCAAGGCTGAAAGCCGCTGCCGCCGCAATGGGATGGCATCTTGGGTCCGCGGGACAGGTATTCCCCGAAGGCTGACTACCTGCCTGCTACACAAACACACCTCCACGGCCAGGCTGAGTAAAAGGGTAGGCAGCCGTCTAGCCTAGGAGTAACGGGAGGGTGTTCGAAGTCACTTCTTCCTCACTAGAGAACAAGGAAGGCCCTCCTCCGATTTTTCTTCAGCTGGCCTGCACTGCAAGTCCTCTTTACATCACCTTGAACTAACAGAGAAGGATGATATCCACCCCTTCCACCCAAAGCTGGGGAGATCTAGAGCTCAGAGAAGCAGATAATCTATCCAACAAATTTAGCCTTGTTTCCCCGGCTGCTGGGCTCGGTCCTCGCCCCGTCCCCACGCGGGTGGTGGGAGCCATCGGTTCTGCTCCCGCTGGGGCAGGGGACAGGAGGCACCAAGCTTGGCACAACCGACCACACTCAGTCAAAATCAGCCATCCCTGGTAAAGACGGTTAGTGGAGAGCCTTCCCCTCCCCTTCTCCCCCCCCCCCCAGGCAGGTTTGGCTGCAGACCACCATCCTTAGGGACAAGGGACAGTCTGAGCCCTGGTGGTGCCGGGGGACCCTGTCCCAGGGGTACCTTACTCAAACAGCCAGCACAGAGAATGGTAGTGGAAACCTACCCTATGACCATCAGATGCTTGCAAAAAGAACAAACAAAAAAAGCCTTTATAGAAAATTTGACTTTTTTCCAGACATGAATTAAAAAAAAAAAAAAAAAAAAGACACCCCCTCCCCCAGACTCCCCCCAAACCAAACAACAAGCAGAAAAAGTCCCCCCCCATACCCTACGTGCACATTCGGAGAAGCACGTCTTCGCCCTGCCGGACCCCTTGCCCACCCGCCGCGTGCCCTCCCGGCGTCCCCCCGGCATGCTCGGCTCCGGCCCCGTGCCAGTGGCGTGGGTGGGCCCTCGTGCCTATAGTGGGCACCTAGCACGCTCCCTGTGAGCGCGGCTTTTGCTCTGCGTGGGTGGCACTCACACTATATCTCTCTACCACATACACACCAGGTACATACAAATGTGTGTAGGTATCTGTAGATACATCCATACCCCCATGGGACACGCGGGGTGATGTGCCGACCCAGCTTTAACCCTGGCAAAGCCACTGGGATCCAGGTTGTCCTCTTGCTCTCCCGCCTGCTGGCACCCATTCCCTCCGGCGGTGCTGGACAGCCAGCCTGAGACCCAGTGTTTCAGCTTTTCAACCTCACATTCCCACCCCCCCCCCATTTCAATTTTTAGGAGCAATTATTACAAACTAGTCGCCCATTAATAACTCAAAGCTCCGAGGCAAATGCTAACCAGCGGGGTCTTGCCGGTAAAACTGTGATCCAGCATTTAAACTGGTGCCGAGTACTGATTAGGCAGAGGTGACACCCTGCTCCGCACCCCTTGATACCCCTGTTATTTTTGGCCTGCGACGCCGGCGGCGGCCGCGTCCCACATTTCCTGTGCTCGTTTGTTTATTTATTAATTTCTTTTTCTGCTGACGCAGCCCAACACCCCCTCTTCCCCAGTTCAATCTAATTACAGCTCCGCACAACAAAAATCAATAGTGATGCTGGTCAGATCTATTTACGGCGGCCATCAACCCCCCAACGGAGGATCTTTTTCCTATTCCCCATCCCCCAGGCGCTGCTTTCCCAGGCAGGCTGGCGGTGGCCATCCCGGTGTCCCCGCAGGCGGTGGGAGCCGGGGACAGGGGGCGGCCGGGGGCGCTGCTCTGACTCCCACCCGGGTCAGCATAGGGTGAGGGGTTTTCTTTGTGCTTCAAAATGCCTTTTTTCCAAGTCCCAAGATCCAAACGACTCATCCTTGGCTTAATGCTGTTCTTGGGTCACGTCCCTCCGGGGTCACTGGGCCTGGCCGCAGTCCGTGGGGATGGGGACACGCTTCAGGGCGCTTCCACCCCTGCCTCTGCGTTATTTCCCCGGCAAATGCCCGAAGGACGGGATTTATCCCCTGGCTTGTCCTGCTCCCCGCTCCTCCTGGGGCACAGGAGACCCTGGCGGTACCAGGACCAACAGTGGGAGAGAAGGACCGGGGTCCCCCGTGGCCAGGCAGGATGCTCCGACGGCCAGTAAGGGGTTGAGCTCACCCACAATGGAGGTCTGTCTTTCCTCTCTCCATCTCTCCCCAGCTCATTTCACAACACCTGCACCTCCGAGACCTCCACAGCTCAGCCAGGCTTGGCTGAAACCAGCCAACAAGCGCAGGAGTGACAAGGAGGGAATGCCAGACGCAGTGGGATGGGGCGATTGCACAGAGCCCCTTCCTCCGGGGCGCTGGGCACACAACCCCAGCGGTATCCCTAAGGTAGCTGACCTGGCTGCGGAAAAACCACAGGGAGCAAAGGCAAGGAGGAATCTCGGGGGGGAAAAAGCAGGAGGAAAGACCTCTGAGAGCAGAGGCATCCCACCCGCTTCCCTCGGAGGATTTCTGCCGAGGGTTTCTGCCTCCCCGGAGACTTACGTCAGAGGGAGCACGTTTTCCTTGACTTAACCTTGACAGCTCAAAGCAAAATATCTCCCAAATCATTTCTAAAGGGACATAATAGAGACAATCAAATGGCTGCTGTTCAGAAGCTGCGATTATGCCTCGCAGCGTGAACTCCGCGAAGCATTTAACTAATACCTGATGGCTTTGCAGGCTTCCACAGCCTGCCAGACACTGGTTTCTCTATTATACCCGCAAACCTCTGTTTTCTCAGCCCCAGCGTGCTCTCCCTCTCCATTCACTTGCAATACAACCTGTAATTTTCTGCCCACTTTGCTTAAGTGCTGGTGATTTGTTGAAATCACAAAAGACAGCCAGGGGCTTTCAAAGCCAGCATGCCGGCTGTAAGCGAGGTTAGGGGAAAAAAAAGAACACCAGCTTTTCTCTTTTCCTCCCCGTCAAATTGGCTCGCAGTGGTGCAAGGGGACCGAGGAGCATTTAGGGGCTCAAAGGGAGGTGGAGGAAGGGATGGAGAGGGGGTAGCTGGATGTGGTTGGCCAGGTCGGGGCAGGTTTCTTGGACGCAGAGGTGGGACGGGCTCTTTCCACTGGTGGGCACCGGGCGGGAAATGGCCCTGAGCAAAGCTGGCTGCTCTCCATGCCTTCAAGATGGGTCTAGCCCCTGGGCTGCCTCAGTTTCCCCTTCTCCTTGAAGGGGCAGAGGGATCTCAACCTCTTTCACAGAGAAGGGGGGCTGGGTGTAGGGTTGTGCAATGGGCGTTACAGGTTCAGACCCTGCCCCGATATTCTGGAAGGTTTTGGGAGCTGCAGCTCTGAGCAACCTGGGATGAGCCCAGCGCCTCCCACAGCAGAGTGGCGTCTGATCCCGAGTTGAATTAACCTCATGGCATCTGCTCCCCCAAAGCTGGAGCAGAGTCTGGGCCAGAGATCAGGGGGCTTCACCTGCAAAACAGAAATCCTTTGGTCCACAGCTGGACCAGACGGGATGCTCAGAACTGCGGCA